CTGATTATAAAAGGCTTTGTCTGACCTGATAAAAAATAAGTAGAAAAATTATTTTTTGGCAAACAAGATACGTAATTTTGGTTTATATAAAATCAATTGTTCTTATGGTTATGCTGCCATTAATAATTAGAAACTATAAATTGATCAAAGTTTTCTTTTACATTGTTCTTAGGTCTTGATTGTGGACTTTTGATTCATGAAGCAACAATGGAAGATGAGTTGGAAGAAGAAGCAAAAATTAAAACTCACAGGTAGGAGATCATTGATTAATGATTTGTATAACTTCTCCACTGTTCTACATTAATTTTGATACTATGCTTTTAAGATATTTTACACTTTTTTTCTTTTTAAAGTAATAAAGTTGGTGATTTGTAACTACCTATGATCAGGATGTAAATGAAATTAGGCTTGTGTTTTATATACTTCCCAGAACTTTTCTAATTATTAACTATTTAACTACTCTTAACTAGCCGATATGTATTAATGATTAACAGGTGTTCTGATCATCTGAACTGTAAGAATAAACTTGGATAACTGCTAATTTAGTAGTTCTGATTAGCTGAGTTGTAAGATTGGAACTTTGATACCTGCTAACTCAGCATGTATTCTAATCAGCCAGATGCTCTTACTAGTCCAGTTGTAAGAGTGAAACATAGATATCTGCTAACTTGGCATGTATTCTAATTAGCAAAATCCTCTACTTATCTGGACTGTAAAACAAAAAACTAAGTGTCTACAAACTTTGCAAGTATTTTTAATTATGTGAGCTGTAAGATTATGACCTTCTATTTATAGCAACAGAAATAGATGTAACCTTTTTTTTTATAATATCTGTAAATATTGTATGCATTTAAAATACTTCTAAGTGTATTCATTGTTAGTGTGCTTGTTGAGTTTTTAATATATTCTGAACTTGGTATCATTACGACTCATTATGTTGATGTGTATTGTTTGAATGTGTATGGATATTGAAATTCCGTAAAATAGGTAACTAGGATATAAAACCTGTCTTTCTGTACCGAAAAGGAATACTTGCTGTTGTATTGTACTGAGACAACCTGACACTTTGGGTTCAGCATTTACTGTTGACTTTGTGAAATAACCAAAGATAAGAGAATTACGGGTCACATGAATTGTCTTTAACCTGTTCTAGAAATGGGTATTGCTATTGATTCAAAAATGTGCTAAGTCTTGATACACAGAATAATGTTTTTTAAATGCCAACCTCACTTTTTATAATCAAATATCACTGTTGTTCTACAAGACAGTTATAAAGGTTTTGACTTCTGTCTAAATTCAATCAAATAATTGTGTGTGAAATAAATAAAGCTTATGGATTTTATTTTTTAAGTTGTACTTTTAATTTGATATTGTAACCTTAGGAAATGTTTTGAAATACATCATCCTTTAAAACCAAACAAATTCAGATGTATTTTATGATACATTTTATTTCAGTACTACATCTCAAGCTATTAAAGTTGGTGCTAACATGAGGGCTGATTTTACCCTTCTAACCCACTTCAGCCAAAGATATGCTAAGGTGCCTCTCTTCAATGACAACTTCCACAATACAGTTGGCTGTGCTTTTGATAATATGAAGGTACATTGTTTTTTTTCCTTCTTATGTTTATTTTCAACAGGATATTAAATTAGAATTATGTGACAAAAAAACAACAACAATGTTATAATTAAATAATATTGCAAATATTGTCTGTTCAGTTACCATTCAGTTTGAGTAGTTAATTCAAAGGTAAAATTGCTAGCAAAAATGACAGTTACAGGTAATTTGTAACTTTATTCTTTTATTAGTTCATAATTTCTTTAATCGCATTATAGGTACATTTTGGTTGTTATAAGTTTCTGGCAACAAAACCCTTTTGTTTAGTACCATAGACTGTCATTCTGGCATGGGCACAACAACCTAAACCAACTTGTAAAGTAATTATGTTAGGCATGAAATAGTAAGCTGTAAGTGTATTATGTTGAAATCTGAAGTGTTACAAGCTGAGAACTTTGATGGAACAACATTACAAACACCAGTAAATTTGAGTATCTTATTTTACATGTACCAGTATGGGTTTCAAGGAAAGAGAGTGCATGAATAATATATCATTCATACTGTATTCTGTCAGTGAGGTTCAACAGGACATTGATTGGTTATTTAACACTGCCAGCCATGATGGTAGCAGCCTGTATCTTCTTTCAGTGAGGTTTAACAGGACACTGATTATTTGACACTGCTAGCCTTGATGGTAGCAGCCTGTATCTTCTTTCAGTGAGGCTCAACAGGACATTGATTATTTGACACTGCTAGCCATGATGGTAGCAGCCTATATCTTCTGTCAGTGAGGATCAACAGGACATTGATTGGTTATTTGAGACTCTGTTGCTAGCCTTGATGGTATCAGCCTATGAAAAAGTGTAATTGAAAGGCTATTAATACATTAGTTTTGTACTTAGCAGAATTAGCATAAAACTTAATGACTGCTAATACTTTTAACAAGTATGCTTAACCATTGTATAAGGACTTAAATAAAAGTAAATTGGTAATGTTGTACCTTAGTTATAAAGAAAGCATTTCAAGTTAGTAGTAGTCCTATTATTTCAAGAGATACTGGAACTTACAAGGTATAATGCTCAATCACAGTATGTTCTCAGTTTACAAACAACTTTTAATGAATAGGACTTCTTGATATTTGTTGTTAGAGCTACCCAAACCACCTTAATAATTTTACATTTATGTGATAATTTCAACCATAAATAAATGACAAATTTCAGTTTTGTATAATAAATATGCTGAAAAACAAGGCATAATCTCCATTAACCTTCATAAGCTTGTAATTTAATTAATTAATTGGTTTTTAAATATCATTCTTTAGACTACAATTCTGTAGCCAGAAGTGAAGCCATTTCTATGTGTTGAGTAACCCCCCCCCCCCAAAAAATTACAATAATTCTTTGAACGAGGCCAATTTTTAATAAACACTTTAAAACCATTATATATTATTTCTATAGGTTCGACCATGTGATCTACCAATTTTACCATTGTTGTTACCATCACTGAAATGTCTTTTCCATGAACACTATGAAGAAATGCAAGAGAAAACTGCAAAAAGACAAAGAAGAAACAGGGCTCCTCAGACACCTTGACCAATGTACATTAGATCATCAGCTTAGCTAATAATCTTATTATTTTCTGTTAATACTTTACCTTATGAAAATAAAATTTTCTAAAATATATCAATCTTGTTGTTGAAAAGTTGACATTTTTTAAGATTCTTGATGTCATCAAAAGTTATCACTGGATATTGCAGTTGAGGTATTTAATTCTTTCCATATGCTAACACTAGATTAGCAAAAATCTAAAATTTTAAGTCTGAATTAATCCTTTCCAGACAGGTCACAGGAAATGTCATCATGTTTGCTGACTCACATTCAAAATTTTATTGAACTACTATTTCATGAATTTATGTCAATAAGCTTGGTATCAAACTGTATATTATAATTCAATATCTTAATTTAAAAGTAAATATTAAAAAACACAGTTAAACATCGATTTTTTTGTGTGTTACGTAGGTTGAATGCAGCACTGGTTCAAATTAGATGTTTGTAATGTCAAAATACTAAGTCTCTAGTTTTGGTCGAATTAGGAACTTAAATTACTGATACTGACAAGCTAGAATATAAAATAAGAACATATTTCTTCTGTTTTCCGAGATATCACTCATGTACTGAATCAAACACAGTGGCCCCCGCTCACCTCTCCATTTTTGAAAATTGTCCCTTATATACACTTACTTCGATATATGACATGAATAACCAATCAAAAATTTAGAATGTCCCCCTCATGGCTTTCTCAGCCATTTTAAAGTGTTTGGAAGCCATCTTGTTCTTTAGAACCAAGATTTCAAGGAGGTAGGTTGTGTCTTTAGTCTGCTCGGAATTTCATATTTTATAGACCGACATACAGCTTAGTTACTAAGCTTGATAAATTATAGTGGATAACTTTCTATGGTATTGATATAGTAATTTATTGGTTATTCAACTGTATATATAAAACCTAAAATAAAAAAAAATTATTTCTATTCATATCCTCCACATGTGAAATTTTAAGACTTGGCAATTTCCGTCAAGCAGCAACCGAGTACAAAGGTCGTAACTAGAAAACATAATTGTTTGCTTTACTTCATTTACTGTTCTATGTTTTAAGAAAAAATAAGTTTAAAACTTATTTTTAAATATTAATAATCTATAGTAATTGAAATGTGACTATCTTACAAAAATTAGTCTGCTAAAACACAGCAAAGGCAGGTCAGTTTTATATTATTGGATACGGTAACATGAAAGCACATGTGGCACATCATTGTAACTTCTGTATTGATAGCCAGGCATGGCTGAAAGGTCAGTATAATAAAAATAATAAATATTTATGTTTTTGTGTTATAATTTGTAATTATAGAATGAAAGAGGCATAATTTATATTTATTTCCTAATTTTTTATGGTGGTTAGAAGATTGGTCAAATCTATTGAAAATAACAGATAAAATATAGTTTTTTCTTCAGAAACGTTTGATAGCTATCTGAACATTATAAAGATCTTGCATGTGAAAGTTGAAAATCTTCTTCTGCATAAAAAGTATTTTTAATCTTAAAATAAAAATTACTTTGCATGTTGGATAGGCAACATGTAAAAAGAAAAAACAAAGGCATGAGAAAAACACTGCTTAACAAACCTTAAGATATTTTGTGTATGAAAGCATCGTGATGTTTACTTATAATCTGCCAAATTTCGTTAACTTAGGCTTACTGATTTAAAAGTTATAGCACAAAATGGGTATGAGGTTGGTCCGAGAGACTGAGCCCATGCTGAAAAGAGTAAAGTGAGTGTACTTGAAAAGTAAGTTTTTAGTACACCTTTGATTTTCCAAAATGATTATCAACAAACAATTTTGTAGCAATATATTTTTATTTTATGCTTTAAAAACGTTATAAAATGTACAAAAAATACAATATGAAAGTGAAAAATTGTACTGTACAAATATTTTTAATGAAGTTTCAAGTAAAATTTGTTTTACAAAATACTGTAATCCTCTGTAGAGACAGGATTGGGAATGTATAGTTGTTCAAATAAAGTGTATATGGCACCGACCTAAAACAACATGGAAAGTCCCAATTTCACAAATTAATTTAATTTTTTAAAAACTACATGCACCAACAGTGATTAATCCTAGTTCTTGTAAGCAAAACAAAACCTTCCCTTTGAGATCTTAAAATCAGTACATGAATGGGTTTCTTAACATTTTTATAAAGTTCTATTCTGTCAGGCTTTGGGGCATTTACTACTACTCCCTTCCCACAAAACGAGATCATATTTGCAAACAAATTTTTTTCATATTAAAACATTTTTTAAGTAGTTCAAAGAACCAGTGTTTTGTATGCAAATTACATTTATGTACTAAATAATAATCTGAATTAAAATAGTAATACTGATTACATAAAAATAAGTATTTTAAACTTAAACAATAGATCACTAATCAATAATAAAATTTAGTAATTAGTTAAAGCACCATCAAGTTCTCTACCAGTTAACGGAAAATGAAATCAAGCTTGTTGCCAGTCTGTATACTATACAAAACCAAAATGTCAGTAGAGAGAAGAATGCTCGTCTCTTTCTTACACCACCAAAAACAAACAATTTTGTCAAAACACTACAAAATAAAACTTCCATATTTTAACACTATGTTCTGCAGTCAGTGTTAAATTGTTGCAGAAAAAATAAACTGCTATTTTATTTTAGCAGTTCTTATGCAGTATTTAAAAAAACAAAAATTCATACTATTTTCCTTCACTGAAAGGCTAACAAATTGTAAAACAAAAAGCTGTGTAATTCACCAAGAGTGGCATTTACACACAACAAAGTTTGATTAATTTACTTTAGTAAATCTTTACTACTTCTGTACACTTATAATACACTTTAGTACACAGTCACTACAATACAAGATTGCCTAGTTTATTCATTTATTTTAACACTTATGATCCTTTCCTTGGTATGTTTATAAGCATATGAACAATTTTTAATTTTCTATACATATTTTGTTTTTACTATTACTAAAGTGATGCGACAAATTCAACATGAAAATGTAACCTTGAACTAGACTACCTTATTTCTCCAAAATGCATCTAGTTACTGGTTGGAGTTCTTAGATGTGCTAAAAACTTGATTGTACAGTAATGAGATCAGATTATAACAAAGTTAAAAAATGTAAAATTAAACAAAATAACATAAGGTTGATAATACAGAGAACCTTGACATAGATATGAAAGGGATTAGTTTCTTTCATACACAAGTTTAGCTCAAAGTTATAGGATTGAAATATTTAATTGCCATATGTATGTCAGTTTTTTATATTATGATGAACCAAGAATATCTACTTTAATGCTCTAGCCATCAGTGTCCATGTTTCATACTATCTTAATGAGTACACCTATAACTGTACAGAAATTTACAATCCAAAGGCAAAGTTTTATGAAGTACTGGGTCGTAGTTAGATTTGCACATTACTTGCATTTCTGACATTTCTTCTTTACACAGAATAATACTAGTGAAATTTAAAATACTCAAAATAACAGCACAGATATAAAATTGGCAACTTTTTTTAAAACTTGTCTTTTTGATGAAATTAAGTATTTTGCAACGAAACTTATTTTCTTAAGCATATAAAACCAAATATAACAAGTATGTAACAGTAAGTATAATAGAAAAACAGCTATAGCATAATCAAATCTGAAGATAACATGAAATGGTTAAAAATGATGCTAGGAAACAATAAAAAAATTTAGCTAATGTTACAGTCAAACCAACTATCTGGACTATTACAGTATATTTGGCCAAGATGTTGGCATGTTGAACTTTCCTTTTCAGCAGTTTTAACCACTTCTTAATATATATATATATATATATATGCACTGCTTTCTAAAGACCTTGTAGTTATACTACAGCAATTTCAATTCCATGTTAAACTAAGCTAAACAACTTTGTCCAAGAGGAATTAAATTTCTGTTCATGTTTATCACAACTGTGTTACTTTAATCTCTGTCTCCAAGTTTCATAATACCCAACTCCTTGGCTACGTTGTTCATGTTCTCTTTACAAAGTGCTGTGTGAAGAGTTCCAAAGGTACACTTCTGGGGTTTTCGGCCTTTCCACTCCAACAACATCTGATAAGCACATTCTCGAAATCCGCTGGTTTTATGGGTATGCTCAATATTGAGAAGGACACTCTCTTCTAGTCCAAGTGTGCGACCCAGAGCTCGCCAACTAACTGTGTTCATCAGGGCAGAGATTTCCCACATATCTGTATCTTCTAATTTTTTTGTGCTGGTTCCCATGTCTTCACAAGATTCTTCAGAACTACTCATTGTTTCCGACACATCTGAAAATCTCCGTTTCTTTTTGGCAGGTCTTGCCTCTTTGGAGCCACTGGGATTGGAGCGTTTACGAGAACCGATACTAGTTTCAGTAGCTGATAAAATAGAACAACGTATTAAAAAAAAAGTTCAAACATGATCAATATGAAACTAGCTTCATGAGATGAATTTGATGATCCAGAGTTTCTTTTACAAATTGACAAATATTCTCGTGAATATCATTGTAGATTTACAACATTTTAAACTATAATATCCATATAAAAACTTCAAATAAACCACAGCTTTTAAGTCATTAATTTTTAACCCAAGCTATTTTGACTCTATTAATTTGAAGTTTTTTTATCCAATGGATGACATATTGGGAGATTACTGAAAAAGACTAACAAACATAGAAAAACACTAAATGAACAAGTGATGGATATAATCAGTAAGGAATGCATGAACAATACTGCACTAAAAATATTCTTTTTAAAAAAAGAATACTTTCATGGTATTTAAAAGTCAAATAGCTTTTTCTCGTACTGTTATATGTTAACAGCACAATTATTTTAATTTTTGTTAACCAAAATTAAGATGGATACAAGTTTTGCATCATTTATGTAGTTTTTAATCCATGAAATTTTAACAACTGTATTATGATATCTTAAAAGTAGTTACACAATTCTGTTAGAACTGTAACATCACTAAAATGTCAAAAATTGATGATCTAATACATGTATAGCATGCATTTTGCTAGTTTTAATGATTTATAAATACTTTTTAATGCTAGTTAACATACCTTGTGTACTGTATTTCTCACTTAAATAAGATCTATTGTACTAGTTTTGAAGTATTTTATAGATATAACTAATCTTTCGTATCTGGACCTAACCCTTTTAATGATTTTGCAGTTACATTCAAAAATTTAATGTCAATGTATGTTAATAAATTTTGCATGAACATGTGGCTTATAAAGTTTATAATTCAATTGTGTATATTATCTAAGTTTTAAGTTAACTTCAAAAACAATATTTAAAAAAACTCCCAAGCTTTATTTTTCTCTATATCATGTGACAAGTCTGAGCTCCAACTTCTTCCTTTCAGAATTTTTTAAGATCAAAAATATGGTGCTGTAGTTTCCAACCACTTATTACAACCAAGAATCTCAAATTTGAACCTCCTGCCTTCTTCATTCGCTGAGATATAAATAAATTTGTCAAAACCAACAGACATTTACCCTCTGACTTTTAAAATTATTTGGTAATCAACTTTATATGAATAATGCACACATTGTTTCTAACTAACTACTACAGAAAACAGTTTATCCTCTATGTAAACCTAACAAGTCATTGTTTACTTTTCCCACCAAAGACCACGTGTGTGGTGACAATGTTTTGCTGCTCCAACTTTTAAAAGATTTTTTTAACCTTTTATAGTGTACTTAGAAAGCCAGCTAAATTATAGTAGTTTCATGATATTCTATTCTAGTGACTGATATATTGTTTGTGTTTTAAAATGCATATTTGAAAGCTACAGGAATTCTTTTTTCAAAACCCAAGTTTGTAAGACTCAACAAGGCTTCTGAAAGAGTGTTTTCAATTTTTATTCAAATGCAAACAAGCGTGAGTATGTAGTAATACAAATCCTCGTTTTTATGATTATATTTTATTTATTGTTATATATTTTTAATGTAAATAATAGAAATAAAAAATTAGAAACTTCTCAGCATAGCCTAACAAAAACTTTAGTAAAATGTTTAAAATTTCATGAGCTTGAGCTACTTGGTTCCCTCACTGATTTATTGTTTTTGACACAAGCATTACTAGGAACAATGTACAACACTTAAACCATAAAATTAAAAAAAAAACAGATGTGAAAAGGTTAACAGTTGAAACTATTAAGATAGTATCATTCACTTTATTTCATGTTTTTCAACTTTTTTTCTACTGTACATTTATGATTTATTTTGCTACAGTTAGTGTAAAGAAAATAAATGAAAATGTATAAAGGTTAAAAAAAAAACTTCTGATATTCATTGTGGAGGTTCTAATTGTTTTGCAAATTAATTACAAAAGCTTTAAAATGAAAATAATTATTTTTATTCTTAGCATGAAAACTACCTTTCACATAGACTACTCAGTAAAGGATTTGAAAATGCATAGACAAATCATTAGTAAAAATAATCTATTAAAAATCTGACTAAACACTGATTCACACTTGAAACAATACACTAACCTGATGTGCTAGCATCAGAGTCACCTTGAGTTTTACTCCTCCATTTTGTTGGAGTACTGAATGAGAAAGGGTTCCACCTGCGACGGGTTGATGATTGTCCACTGCTGCTAGCACTACCAGGAGAACTCTTCCCACTACTTTCGTCTGCTCCTTGAATGTTTAACTGACGACTAACTTGATAAAGAGCTTGCACAAATTCTTCTGGGGTACCTCCTCGAGACTGGTAGAGGTTCACCATTGTCAGAAAAGGATCAGGTGAGTACATCAATTTTCTGTGGATCTCATTCTTGGTGAAGCCAATGTGACGGGCAAACTTTTTCCAATTGTTATCTTCCATGATATGTAGCGTACCTGGATTTAAAGATACATTGACATTATTTCCAGCCATTCTTTGTTCATGCCTCTAAAAAAATTCTCATTTCTCATCTTTATTTTCACTCACTGTGTACATTATGCATTGTTAAAAGTTGAATGGAAATGTATATTCCATCATTCTTCCTTTCAATTATAGTAGTTTTTAGGATTGTTTGTCAAATTAAATATTGCAAGTTTTTATTTTAATGTGATAACATATAAAGAACTTTGTGTTTTTCTATATTTGTAAACTTTATCCCTGTGGATGCTTCTTTGGAGAAGCTTTGAACCCTTAACTGAAGGCTTTCATAAGAATCTGGAAAATTTTATAAATACTACAACTTACCTGCCAATTCTTTGATAGCTACAATTGACCAGCGGTCTGAAGATTCATAAGCAGTAGGTTCAGTTTCACAACCACTCTAGATAAAGAGATAGAGAAAGCTTGAACTATCCTTTGATATGCAATATGTACTGCTTATAACAACTCATTTTGCTTGAAACCATATAAATTTTTGCACAAATTTCTTTGATATTAAATATATACATATAATAAATTGCATTTTGTATGTTTGATAAATTATCAAGTTCAGAGATTCTTGTGTAAACTTTAATAACTTAAAATGTCTTCCTTATTTTTTTCACAATATGTTCATCTATATGGAAGGAGAACTAAAACTACATAGAAAGTAGTATGATAGTATCTGGCAGAATATTATTATTATCAGCTAAAAACCTTCATTTTCACTCATATACTTCAGTATCATAGGGCTATAATGATTAGGCAATATTTTTCAAACTGTTTTTAGTCAAGCTCAATTTCTCTTTAATAATTATCATTTGTTTTCAATAACTAAGGAGTTATTGTACGTGTTGTTTGAGGAACAACAACTTTACTAATATATAATAAAAGAAAGGTTTTGTGTCATTTGAATAGTTTAACCTTACCATACTCATTAACCCTAAATATCCTCACAGAAGAATATTTCTATAGCTTTCAAATAGGCATAATACAAAACAAAAAAATTAAAATGAACAAAAAGTATGTCAAAAATAAGCTATAGAAAAAAATCCCAAGTTTGTACCTTGTTTGTAAGTATTGTAAACTTTGTCTTAGAATCTGTTGTTTACCCCTATAGCAACTAATGCTATTCAATTTACCATAAAACCATAAATCACTGTTCACACCACTTTATATACTTTACATAGAGACTTAGATAGATAAGAATATTTTCTACCCAATCACTTTTAGCCATTAATTCTATCTGTTTTCAATGATAAAATTCATCAGTTAATGTCCAAACCACTCGCTGTGACACTATCAAGTCTGGTCAGAAGTCTGTAGAAATAAAAATCACTGACAGAAATAAAGTTACATCAAACAAAACATGGATAAATCAATTTCCATGGGACAATAGTTTCTGAGTGAATATAAATCTATACTTTGGGAAGGTCAGAAAAATTATAATCAATAACACAATGTTTACAGGTGATACTCTTCTGACCTGTGCAGAAATCAAAGTTAAAACATTTTTTCTTTGCAATGTACACTAGATAAATGTTGTAAAATTACAAAACATATGTAAAAAAAATAAAAATGGAAATACTTAGAATCACTATTTTTGCCTAATTTTGAAATATGATATTTAAGAGTACACTCAATAGTTCTACCGCCCAGCAAGGGCTAATGTATGCATGTCACACACTGAATGCAGAAGATGGAAACAAAAACACAAGTTAGCATTTGTGCTGCATTACATAAAACAAAGGATCAAAAAATCTAGTACAAGGTCTGTTTTACTCACTATAATCTGTAACTACAAAACTGTTAAGTTCTTTACACTTTAACCCTCTGTACACAGTCTTGGTCCTTTTGACCGACCCTGTAACCTCCTTGTAACCATGAAACTATACATACTATAACTGAATATACTAAATGCATCTTCAAGACATTTGTCAAGGTTTTAGTAAATGTTACATGTCTGTTGTAAATAAAAAATCAGATTTTTAACAAAATATTTTTACTAAAGTCTCAGCGAAAGCTGATTTCCATGTTAAGAATAAAAATACTTCTTTTCATCATAAAGTTTCATTTTTTTTATTTGCATAACTTCTAGAATCTCCTAAATGAATATCAAGTTTTGATAAAAACTTTATTTCTTATTTTCTCTATCCTAACATTAACTATAGTGAAATGAAAAGTTGAAATATATGGAATAAAATCAAAAATACCTATATCCTTTTCTTAGAATGGCTGCAGATTGTAACAGACAACTGCAACTACTTATCCTAACAGCTTCTAACATTTTCACATATGCTTTCATTTAATTTTATGATTTTATCGTATTTCAAATCTTTCCTCAGTGCATGAAATGCAATTAAACTTCAATAACAGAGCTTGGGGCAAACGAATGGATCAAATTACATCATCCACCCTAAAACCTCATGAACTGAGCGAACCAAGTGAGATACAGAAATTTAAAAAAAAATTGTATTTATTTTTTGTTATGGGACCTGGTAAGTTTCTAATTTTAAATTTTAATTACGTTTTGTTAAAAGATATATAACAATTAATAAAGAAAATACACATAAAAAACAAAAAATTTAGCATTTAGCTTATCCTGTAGTTGACCAAATATAATGCACACTTTGTTTCCTCCAAATACCTCCTGAAAAATTTACTGCACATTATATTTATGCACATTAAATTTTGTTACGTATTTTACTAGAAGCTACCACCAAAAATCATTAAAGGTTTCAAAAAATGTTGCATATCCATTGTAATGGATGGGGCAGATGATGAAATGCTGTGGGAATCAGAAGATGATGAAGGAAAGGTTCAAAGAAGCAAATCCAATGATAGCAATAATTCTAGCAATGAAGATTTACACGAAGATGAGTGATTAGCTTAGTGTATTACCACGTATAAACTTTTCAATAAATTTTGTAAAACTGACACACACGCAAAAATTTCAACGAAAGATTTCCAAAAATGTTTAATACTTCGATAGTTGTTTACTGTATTTAAAAACTATCCAATACATTTTGTACAACTGATGTGTAAAAAAAAAATTTCTTCAATTTAAACTTTCAAAAGTGGGTGTGCATTATATTCAGGCAAATACGGTAGGCCTCTCTGTACTCAGGAAAGTACTCCAATAAAACTACTTTTTTCACAATATGTTGGCTGTCCATGAAGTAACTCGTGTTGTTTTCAAATATGCATTTTACAACATAAAAATACATCAGGCACTAGAAGAGAATGTCCTAAAATTACTATAATTTAACTCACTTTCTAGCTAAGCTATAAAAATGTTTAAAAATTCCATTAGCTACACAGAACTGAACACAAAGACATCAGACAATGAATCTCATAAAAACTCTACTTGGCCATGTAAAAGGAAATATATACAAGGAATCATGGAAGAAAATATATATGGTCTTTCTATTGGTCATAAACATAACCAATAGCAATATAAGAGAGAAATAAAAGGGTGTGTCATGTGGATGTGACAAATACAGTGATATCTCAGTAAATCAAAAAGATTGGAGATTAAAATTTTATATCCTGACTTATCAATATCTATAACATTAATTTCTAATTAGTTAGACACTCCGAAACACATATAAGGGAAGAAAAAATAATCTAAAAATAGGAAATGCAGAGCACAGATGTGTCATGTAACACAGAGAAGTGAAGAAAGAGAAGTTATTTAAATATTTTCTTTTGAATATAAAAATTTGATTTGTAAGCTGCATTTTGATGCCAAGTTTATTGATAATAAAATAGTTTAATTAAATTTTGAATGTAACATCATAAAAAAAAGATCATGACATGTACACTTTGACCCTTCCGTATGCATAAGCTTTATCACAAGAATAATGTATAAACATACTTACATAACTTATAACTTACTTCAGATACTAACTGAAAATACATAATATACTGTATACAAAGAGGTTGAGTATGTTATACTAAAATGATTTTGGAACTTTACTATATCATTATGGTCCATTTATTCATGCTCTACCTTATGCATATTGACAACAGCTCTACATCACTTTCCACTGTGAAAGGTTCCATCATAAGGCTGTCATGTTCATTCCTCCTCCCTAGTGTTTTCCACAATCAACCTAGTGTAGGAAGACAACCATTTCCTAGCACCTGTTTCAACAAACAGATCAAACAGAAATCCATAGAAGCTTCATCTGGCAACTTGACAAGTATTTCTTTGTATGGGATAGCATGAATACCAATTTCATTCTTTAGCTGCTTGAGGTATCCAACAGTTGAACAAATATATCATGGAAGAAGTGTACACCTAACTTGTGTCACTTGTACCAGGCAAATATCCCTTTTAATTATGTTACCCGAGACACATGGATAGCTCTTGCTATTGACCTTTGTGTTCTTGGATTTTCACCTTTTACAAGATGCCACACTTTGTTTACCATGATTGGGGTATGACTTGTTGCAGGTCTCTTTTTCTGGGTGGTCCCGGTGCTTCCTTTGTTTTCTAATACAATTAAGTACAAGGAATATCTCTGTTTTGAAAGCTCTAAATCCTGATCTAAAGACATCTTTATGATCTGACTGGATGAACCACTTTTTTGGTAGCATCACACTACCTATGAAACATCAAAGTCAAAATATAATTCTGATTTTGCTATTCCTCTGCAACTTTATATCAGCTGTGGCTGTCATTAGACACGCTGAACTGCATGTTGAAAATCATTTTCTTATTATGTACTCAGCCCTCTGTACAACAATAATAATGTGCAAGAATTTACTTTCTAAGTGAAAGTATCACATGTGAAAGTAAATGGACACTTAAAAGGACAGTGCCACTTTGATTTCAGTAATGCAAAAACAAATTAAAAATAATTAGCAGTATTTTTTTTAACACTACCTTATATAAATTAAACTCAAATATTGGCTCATTCTCTCCTACATTCAGTTTCCGCTCAACAACAACTTTTCCAAATATTCCTCTTTCTATGACTGGCTTTTCTTGCTTGAACCTAAAATTAACAGAAAAATAATGAATAGTGATTTCTCATGCATCTCACTTTTATCTTAAACTTGTAAGTAAAGTATTCCAAACAATCAGATCAATTATATAATAATGGAATGAAATTTTAATACATTTTTTTATAATTTTATTATTAAAATTACAAACTTACATAATGTCCAAAGGTAATGTATACAAGAATGTAAGTTCTGAGCTTAAAAGACCACAATACATGCTGACGGTGATTTCAATTTACATGACATCATACTAATTAACCAGGTATGAAAATAAATCTTCAACCGTATGTTACGCTTTTGTTTAAAAAACACACTTGATATGCTTTTACTTAAAATATCAAATTATCTTATAAAGTGAACTAGGCTTAATTCACTTGTATTTGTTTCCAGCAAGATGTAGGTTGCACATTTCAAGTTATTTTTCTGGTAAAAACATTTTAAATAAAATCAAATCCAACTTTCAGTTTTTAATGTCTAAACCTCTATATACATGCACAAACACACAATTAATATTTCAATTTTTCACGTTCTTAATATTTAAAAACAAAAATGCAATTAAACCTATATGAAAATTAATCATTAATTTCTACAACCCTGGTGTCCTTTTTGTTGTATACGCATGCATCACATAAACAAATCTCCCACCTGATTGTTTCTTCTCCACCACCACAAGATTTTACTCAACAATATGAAACTGGGTAGTGAGAATGGACTTTATAGAAAGCTGGCTGACAGAGTTTAAGATCTGGTTGTATTACATGGCCTAGAATTGCTGAGAATTTATGTGCATTAATTTAAGTATGTTGAAAAATTCATAAGAAAAAATTCATTTCTCATTTCCCAAACATTCCCCATACAAAAAAAAGAGAAGCCATCAAGGTAACCTCTAAAAATAAAATCTGGAGCATCACTAGCAGATAAGACCTTAATGTCAACAAATCTAGCAGAATATGTAGTATATTTCTCAACAACACATGCCCTTTGCAAAAAAAGGCAACTTGTACTTTCATTTTTGAGAGATATGGTGATTAATATTCTTATATTAGTCAAGTATCTACAAACACTCCCTGCACACATGGACGTTCAGTTATGAAAAAAAAGTCCAGCCTCAGTAAACAATACCCTTGCTACACTGCTCAGAATACAATTGGATGGTTGATTCATTGAACATTTGAGTGTAGAGAAACTATCCTTCCCTGGAACAAGACAATGTAAAATATTACCACACCAGCCACCATATAGTGTAACACGAGAGACCACCATTTGTCTGAATGTGATTAATTTTACCAGAGTGATTTACAGGTTGTGTGATTGTCACCATTTTCATTAATAAATAATTATATTTTGGAAAAATTACTTTTTCTTTGTGACAATTGGCATATAAGCAAGGCAACTGTATTTATCAATATGGTTGTCCTATGGGCAAGTGGAATAAAATCTTGAAATTCAAGTCCATGCAATCCATGAGTGATATAAAAGTCCTTATAAACAGTCGCATGAAATACAACAGAATTAGTATCTTCAGTTTCATTGAAAAGCTCACTGTGGCTCACTCTGTATTTCTCTTAATACTTAAAATCTTAAATTCCAAAATGCAACTGCATGAAAAATTTCATAATATCTTTTCTGATCTCTTTCTGGGTATTTTCAAGTAAAAATATATTTATTTATACAAAATAACGTACACTTTATGCATAAAACTGTATATTTTCTTCTTTGCTCTTGCAATACTTGAAATATCCCACAGTTTTGGGATGCTACAGAATAATTGCTCCTGTATTTTCTAAATTATGATTTGAGTTAATTCTGATGATGCAGAACATGGAAAAGCTATTAATAATCAGAAAAACAAATAACTGTTCTAAGTAGTTAATAAATATTTACATCTATACTGTAGTGAATACCATCTTATTATCCCTCAATTAATTATGGTAATGAAGTTCAAAAATTATTGATATTTTGTTTTCTAGCAGTTCTGCATTTAACTGAATACATCCTCTCCTTAAAAATGTTAACATCAGACCTGGTTTAATAAATTATCTGTAAAAAAAGAAGCAACTTAATACTTTCATTAAGAAATCTCTTACCTGCAAGCAAACTGTTTCTCAAACTCACGCCCACGGAAATCTGGTTCCAGCTTAAAAAGAGACTTATCTTCCCCAGCATCAAGATCTGCTTCAAACAGTTCTGACTTAAGCTTCACAATTATACCACCTAATTAAAATAAAAATTAAAAGTATTATATTGCATGTGGAAGCAAACACTGTGCACGACTAAACACACACACACAAAGTGGGCAAGCATCAATTTCATTGAAAATCATGTGAAATAATAAAATTAACAACTTTCTGATACAACATGCAGTTCATAATTCCTTTATTTTTCTATCCAACAAATTTTAGTGTCATATAAATTTGAACTCCCCATTCCAACATGCAAATCTGGAATGGACTATATTTAAGTTAAATTCACATATTTCTGTGTATCTGTAATGCAAAATAACTAAATCTTACTAATACAACAAAACTATAAAATATATTGCATTTTGGTAAGGATAAAACCAGAATCACATGTACTGAGGCTAATCACATTTCATAACAATGTTGTTTCATGCCCTGTGCTGCTCTTGCATCATTCCTCATACCACAATTTTCAAGCACGATGATCATTTTTAGACCACATATCTTAAACTTTTCCATGAATCCTCTACCTTAAGAGGGTATCAACTTCCAAGGCCAGAACAAAGCAAAATAAAGTCACTAAAGTCTATAAGAGCCACATTAGCGAATTTGAGAGGCATGTGTTTAAATGGAATTGTGGTGATTCTAATATTTTTGGACACATTTCTCATGATTACAGCTGTTGGTTCTCAATGTGGCTGAAAGTTTGTTAGCTTGTCTTGGAAAAAGACTGTGACATATTACTTCAGCCAAAATAATCTACTCTGATGGCATGGCATTGTGAAATGGTCATCAACACACTGTGAAACAAATATACACTGTCATGATATAAAAAGACTGTTTGGTTTAAATATTAGTGTTCGATTTATATTTGTGAGTGAATATTTTATTATTTTCAAGTTTTGTTATAATAAGAGTTAAAAGCAGACAATTGTAGAAGATTTTGTTAATAACTAATTGGTGTCGAGAATATAGAGTGTCCAGACGACTATGTAATAAAGATATAAATAGCACGAGATGAGCAGGAAGCAGCAGACAGACAGTATTAAACAGATAAAAGTAAAGAGAATATAGTTGGTGTGAATTTAAGTAACATAAAAGTGATAGGCCTAACAACTGAGTTAGGCCTAATGTTTGATATATACATTAGAGTGAAACTAAAAGTGGAAAAATAAATAAGAAAAAATAAGTTTATTCCATCAAAGCAAAATTCTAAAGGATCTTCAGAAGAATGTAGACCACAATCGTAAGTGAATCACACCAGACTAATATTGCAATAGTGTTAGAGAAAATAGTTCTGCTTATCAACTGGGATTCTAAAGTAATTGAACAGGCCTAAATGGACTTTTGACAAGAGGAGAACTATACGTATACTGATATAATATTTACGATATGCTTATATTCTCTATAGTATGAATATTTTATTGTACATACGTTTAACTTGTTCTGAATACATATATTATTTGAAAACAAGTAAAGTATGTGCTGTTTATTCAACATTGAATTTAAGAAATAAGTAAAAGCCATTTATTTTTACAATTGGCAAAAAACAAAACAAAAAAAACAGAACCCATGTACATATATAATATTAATTTTTAAAATCTGACATACACACTCTAAATACATCACACAAAAGGATCACAGCTCTCATTTGGTGACAACACTGTCCTGTCCATACACCTTATTAAAAACAAAACAAAAACATTTACCAATCGAAGTTCATAATATTCATGCTGCTAAAAAGCTCCAATAAATTTTACATTTCATATATTATAATGCAATGGTGTGAACTAACAGAAAAAGATGGTACATAAGGTCCACTGATATAAGAAGTTTTGTTTACAGTTTGCAATTTTTACAACTCAGTATCATATAATCTAAGAAATATAAATTCAAAATTATAAAATTAAGTATCACTTCTTAAAGTCAAATAGAGATATTCTAAATTCTTAAAAACTTCAAATGATTATCTATCTAAATATTCAGAATTACAGAGGAACATGTAGGTTAAAACTGGACAGATGTATAGTCTCTTTAAAAACCTGCTAAATAGGTCGTAGTACAAGAATTTGTAATTAATTAATTGATAATAAAATTTGATTTATATTTTTTCATATTTGGTATATGATTAAAAAAGGCAACTATTTTTCAAAAGAGTGTTTATTAATTAGTCTCATATCAAGTATTCTGTTATGATAATGTATGACCAGGGTTTAGATATGACTTTTCAAAGCTAGTATCCAGATAGGTCACTGACATAAAATTAGCAGTAGCCAAATCATTGAGTTCAAAAACCAAAAGTAACATACTACATAGCAAAATTTGCATCCAGAAAGGGATAGCTATTATAAAAATCAAAACTATGATACATTTAATAATTATGTTAGTGCATAAGGCAATGAACAAATAAGCAGCAAAGGAGAATTCCATAGTCAGAAGGTGCAGGAAGAAAAATTAAAAAATTTTAATTAGATGTGTGTTATGCATGTGTGTAGTTGATGTTAGTAGTGCCAAATATGAAACTATCTCTGCAAATAACTATAATTATGTTTTTTAAATAATCAATAGTTGTCAATAATAAAGGACCATAAACCCAACTGACTTATAACTACAAATTACTGTTGAACTAGTTTAGTTACAAGATCTTGTAAATTCATGTTTATCCATATAGTTATGTGATACAAATATGATGTTTGTCTGTAGTTAAGGGAGAAGCTATACAATAGGCTTTCTGTGATGTGCCACTAAAGGGGAAGGGGGGCATATGTTGCAAATGAAGTTGTGATTGATGGAACTGTACAGTGTTGAGTTTGATCAACTCTACCTAAAATTTTGTCTGATGCCATTTTAATCACCATACTGTTTTGTACACAATAGCAGGTCCTTATACACTTAGATTTTTACTACTATTTGTCTCTTGTAGAACTGATTCTTATGTAATCTATGGTTGCATACAGTAGTTATCAAACAGGACAGATGAACAATGTGTGAAATAGATTTTTAGTCTCCAACGTATTCATTTTATCACTATTTTTTCCATTAGTCACAATAGTAAATCAAAGTATTTTGCTTTCACCAATATGAAAAATTAATCGCAAATGGTTAATTTTAATCTGAACCGTGTATGATAAATAAATAAATAAATATTAATTGTCGTAAGTATTTTTAAGTAGTTAAAAAACATTACTTTAATATAAGATTAAACAATTAATACATAAAAAAATAATAACAACTTCACAACTGAAATTATCCGTTTATTCTTACCTGGCCGAATTAGCTTTGGTTTCAAGCTGCTTCCAACTTTATATTTATAGTTTGTTGTATCTGGTAATTTCTTGTCACTACGGTAACAAATGACTTCAAGTCCAAACCTACGAGTGTCCTTGTTTTCTTCCATCCATGCATGACACATCATGGAAAAGGAAATAAAAGGGTAAAAATATGCAACTCCAAGTTTGGCCTCATAGAGTGAGGAACTAAGAATATCCCACAAGACCTTGAAAAAGCTGAAATGACTTACCGGAAAACATAGGCTGCAAAGACCCATGTTGTCCATTTCAACCGTAATAGCAACATCCAGTCTCTCCCACACCACTGGTTCATTTTCTGCTGATGAACTCTGCCAAACTGACAGACGAGCCTTTTGACCAAAGAGTCTAGTGATCTCAAGGTAATGAGGAATTGGTAGCCGAACAGTCACTGGATGGAACCCAGGGTTGAACTGACAACCGTGGGGACCAACCATAATCACAGATGATGCAAGAGCTTGCATGCCCATTGTACCATGCTCAATCCCTGCACTTGCTGGTTCAGCATCATAAAGGACACGTACATAAGCTGTAATATCCTCCACCAAGATGCCAGCTGGAAAATCCACTTCAATCCCAGGAACTTCTGGGATTCTCAGTGTTTTGCCAGAGCTTGTGACCTGTGAATGGACTTCAGGAAAAGGCCTTTCAACAACAACTGTGAAGAGACTGAAATGATTTGCTTTGATCAGAACCCTTCTACCCTTATATGTGAAATTTTCCTGTGGGATGTGCTCCCAAACTGGAGTAGTTTCTCGTGGGGTGTTACTACACAAACAGAATATCCTATCTTCATTACATATTTTTTCTGTTACAGGTAGATATATTAGTGCTGGATTTTCAGCAGAAAATCTTGCTCCATGAGGCTCTACAGACACAATTTCACTAATATGAAAGGTACGACAATCTGTATGTGGGACAAAAGAAACATCATTAATGAATTCAAGGTAAAATTCATCACGGTTGTAGCCACATAAATTATGTTCTGGTATAACAACAGTAACATTCTTATGACGCAAAGTTCGTGTTCTTCGTGTGTCCCGTCTCATTTCTTCCTCTCCTTCACACAAATGTGCCAAATCACTATCTGAATCCGAATCAAAATCTACTTCAACATCACTAAGCCAATCCCTATCACTCCAAACAGAGTCTGGAGTTAAACCAACAGGATTTTCTCGACTTGGTTCCGATACACTTGAGCAAGAGCTGTAGTCGCTGGTGCTTGAAACTTCAATACTTTTTTCCTTTGCCAACTCTTCACTGAACTGTTGAGGAGGAAACAACTGGAAGATTCTTGATAAGCCAGGTGTGGATGTGACAAATGGTTTTTTCCAAGAAAAACTCTCTCTAGATTTAGCCTGTTTTCTCTTTCTCCGTTTGGCATTTGGAGGTTCCATGATAGAATGTTATGTTCCAAGAACCTGTTAAAAATAAATACATACATTAATTTCAAATTATAAATTACTTCACTGATACTAAATACTGGTTTTGAAGTTACTATTAACTTACAGCATTTATTATAAAGTATTCAAGAAATATTTCACCTCTTACCTCATTTGTCTGAAAATGTTTTAAGATTTACAGAGAATATTTTTAAAGTTAAATCAAACTGAAAAATAAACAGATGTAGGCCACATACAATTTTAGTCAACTGATAAAAAATAAAATGATACAATAAATCCAAATTTCACATATTTCATGAAACTAATGCAGTTTAATGTTACAGACACAAACAACTGCTGAACACAATACCAAAACAACTTAACATAAAAGACTAAAACAAATAGTACTTTTGTTTCCATCAAAGAGCTCATAATTACAAACTAAAATTTTATATTTTAATAAACTGTATGGTTTATTGTTTGAAATGGTGTATATATATAGCTTCACAATTTTGTTTTCCTCAGCAATTCTAGTAGTATGGGAGAAAAATAATCTTATTGATTTTTTGTTATTAGTGAGTTAAATGTAGAAGTTGTAATCTGTTCTTGAAAAGTACTTCCTTAAAGTACTCAATTTTCTAAGGTAGATCATACATTCTTAAGAATAAAATTCAGTATAATATATGCAGTTAAAATTTTTTAAAATGATGATAAAAATATACTTATGGTCACACACAATTTTCAGGGTTTAATGTTTTAATTTAATTTGTTTTAATACAAACTGCACTTATTTTAATTTTGGATAGCTGTTACTTTTTATTACTTTGAAATTCCAAAAAGTGATGTTCAATTAAAAATTTTCCTTTGATTGTGTATGTGTGTGTATTATACATATAAAGAGGTTCAGTATATTATAATAAAATTATTTTAGAGCCTCACCAAGTTGTTACAGTCAAAACCACCATGTTTGGTCTTGCCATGTTTTATCCGACAGTCATGTGTCTTGACAACAGCCATGCAGCTTTTATTACAAAAGGATCTGTCTTACGGTTTTTATAGAAAAGTAAATGGAATACCAATACTCCCTCCATACTTTGCATTAACCATTTAGTGTATATGCAGGTCGGTTTCCCAGAGCCCATTAGAACAGTCTGATTGCTTCATATGAAATAATAATTCCTGGTTTCATTCTACAGTTTTAGAGGTATGTGATGGTTAAACCAACATGTTGTGGAAACAACTTGTGTAGACATTACATATGTTGCTTTTCAAGACAGATTCTTGATTATGCTGCATACTGTCAGCTAGAACATGTGGACAGTTTTTGCTACTAACCTATGTATTCCTGGATTCTTATATTTGATAAGACATTGCACTTTGCTTACTAAGGTTAGGATACAGTTTGTTACAGCTCTCTTCCTGGATGGTCCTGGTTCCCAATGTGATCCATGTTCCTTTGTTTTTGAATGCTATTAAGTACAAGGGATGTCTCTGATAAGAACACATCTTTATGATCCAAGTATATGAATATTTTGAGTTGGTAAGGGCTGTTACAATCAATTTTTGATGGCATCAAACTACCCACGATATGCTGAACAATATCAAAATGTAGTTTTGAAACATGCTTACCAATGAGATTTGATATCAACTGTGACTGTCATGTGACTTGCTAATTTGCATATTCAAAATCATTTTAATATAATATATTCATCTTTCTGTGTATACATACATATAAACATGTAATCCTAATTAATAACCTACTTAGTACAGCCCAACCATGTATTTTTGTAACTTGATGCTTGAAGCCTTAACAACACAAAACCATTAATGTGCTAAAAAGCCCTCACACAAACAGTAAAAAAAAAAGCTTTTTATGTTAACATTTTGATTACAATGATCAGGTTTAGCTAACATTTCATAGTTCAAGTATGCTATTAATTCAAGCTGTCTCTCCATATGAGGTACAGAACTAAGTGATCATCAGCATGTTATTCAGAGTGAGAGAAATAATGAAATGTGTCTAGTTCAACAACTAATATCTTTAATACTGACATCAACCATAAAAGATATCAAAACATATATATGTCATACAATATGACCCTTTGTAGACAAAAAATGTAAGACTAACAAAGTATAAAATAATTTGAATAGAGTTGTTTAAAAAAGCTTGGAATGGTCTATTCTTTCATTTGGGGTGTGTCTGTGAGCCAGACTAGTTTTGGAGAATTCCAATCCTCATCAGTGACCCTGAACACTACCACCAATGAAATAGCCGACCAAACCAAGTCTTTTATAAGTCTCCCAC